TTTTTTTTTTTTTTTTTTTAGGTAATTAATAATAAAGTGTACCAGACCTAAACGATGGGGTACACACTGTTCTAGTGTACGGCGTATTAGGAGACTGTATAAGACCACCACCGACCCCCCCTCCAAACTCAGTTTTTCGGCTGGGACTTATCCCAGCAGCAGCGGAAACTCGTCAGCTCTTCCGCTTTCCGTCCAGGAAGTTCCGGTTAACCGAACATAAGCTTTGAGGCAGTAGAGACCACAAACTTCCTTAATTAATATCGCCGGACCACCCACCCCGCCTCACCCCGGCAAAGGCCTTACCGACACACGAGCGAGGAACTAGAGAACGGCGAGTAACTCTGCTAGGTGAGGGTAGAAACGGCATTAGCCGACGCAACTGAGCGAGATTGAAGTCGAAAACCTGTGGATCGATTTCTCTCTCTACCTATTCATGGGCCCATAGGCATGTTGATATACATGACTCGTTACACTGCAAGCTACAATAAGGCTAAAGGCCTTAGAGAACCTACAGGACACCAAGGGTAAGCTCAAAAAGGTTTGAGAGAAGTGAGAGAACGGTTCAAAGGCGATATTCCAGACAGTAAAATGACAGTTACCAAAAATGCATATCTTGCACTTCGGGATCTCCGTTACCAAGAAAAAGACCGGATTCTTTGGATTGATGCTCTTTGCATTAATCAAAATGATAATAAAGAACGAGGAGAGCAAGTCCAGCAGATGGGATCTATTTACAGCGAGGCTGAACGAGTAATTATCTGGTTAGGCGAAGCTACATATGATACAGATTATGTTATGCATTATATGGAGCAACTGGAGAAAGAGAGCACCAAACATGCCTCTAATGACCAGAAAATTTCAGACAAGCAGTGGGTGAATATCTGGTCAGCGGTGGTACACAATTTAATCGCTGACCAAAGAGACCTTCTGATTGAAGGCTTACGGTCGCTCCTTCGTCGAAATTGGTTTAAGAGAGTCTGGATTCTACAAGAAGTTGCCAACGCGCGAGTTGCCGAAATCGTTTGCGGTGGCAAATCTGTTTCGGCAAGCATCTTCGCTCTTACGCTATCTTTACTAGAGATCACCCCAGACCCGCACTGTCAACCTATCTTAGATATTATGCCAGGTCCTCTCCGGAATAGCTCTTGGTGGGCCAAAAAGCGGGATCTTTACACATTGCTAGTCAAATTCTGCGGAAGCGAAGCGACTGACCCACGAGATAGTATTTATGCCTTACTAGGCATATCTTCAGATGCATGCGATACTGATTTTCTGAGAGCAAACTATAAAAAGAATCTTCAAGATGTTATTTTCGATACTACCTTATTCTTACTCAACTTTAACAAGTTGAACTCTCCTATCTACCGTTCATTCGATTGGACGTTGCCAGAGTTTTTAGGAAACTTGGATTTTCTTGCCACCGAAGTACTTAAGTCCGCAGTGGATACGGAGAATGAGGTATTGGTAAGGCTGCTGATAGTGCGCGACGATGTCGATGTCAATATGAAAGTAAGCGGTCAAATGCTGCTGTCATGGGCTGCAAGGAATGGGCACGAGGCGGTGGTGAAGCTGCTACTGGAGAAAGGCGCTGTGCTGGAGACTGACAGGGACTATGACCGGACGCCGCTGTTATGGGCTGCAAGGAATGGGCACGAGGCGGTGGTGAAGCTGCTACTGGAGAAAGGCGCTATACTGGAGACTGAAGACAAGATCTATGACCGGACGCCGCTATCATGGGCTGCAGGGAATGGGCACGAGGCGGTGGTGAAGCTGCTGCTGGAGAAAGGCGCTGTGCTAGAGACTGACAGGGACTATGACCGGACGCCGCTGTCATATGCTGCAGGGAATGGGCACGAGGCGGTGGTGAAGCTGCTGCTGGAGGAAGGCGCTGAGCTGGAGACCAAATCTTGGTATAGTAGTTGGACGCCGTCATGGGTACCAAGGCGCAAGGTGGTGGTGAAGCTGCTGCTGGAGAAAGGCGCTGTGCTTGAGACTAACAGGGACTATGACCGGACGCCGCTATCATATGCTGCAAGGAATGGGCACGAGGCGGTGGTGAAGCTGCTGCTGGAGAAAGGCGCTGAGAAACCACAATAATTCATAGTTACAAAATATATCATATATATTTTATTATAGAGGGTCTTAGGGGAGGAGATGTTTATATACTATGGAATGTTGCCATTGAATGCAGCCACAGAATGTTCTAGAAACTACGCCAAGAATATTCATACAGGCTTCAACTGTTCACATGTTATACAGTAGTAACATGACCAGTTCATTCCACTCTCCATGTCTAGCGTCATGTCACTCATACATTCAACCCATTGGTGTTGGCCGGCCCTTGTTGGAAATCAATGTTGACAGTTGCACTGTCAGGGGTCCCACTTTGAGTTAAAAGGTGCCAAATTTGAGGGTAGAAGTGGTTCTGATTAATATGTCTAAAGTACAAAGAGTGATGGTGTTGAGGGACCTTAAATAATCGCCAACCAAGCTAGCACTGATTAGGAGGACTAGTGCCGATACACGTGACTACCAACTGACAAATGTTATTGTTAGCGCAGCAGGCCATGGGTTGATTACCAATCATTCTAACAGATCAGTAGTGGAAGAGCTACTGTTCTAAGACTGTAACTATAGGTGCTTTATATGCAAGAAGGTACCAATCAGTACAATACCTAGGATGACGCACGGTGTCAGCGCCAAAAATAGCTGATGTAGTCTGTGCTCGGATTTTTTTTTAGGCGAAACAGGACGAAACCGATTTTACAAGTGACTGTATCTGAAATGACTTGTAAGTTCAGATGAAGCATGATGACGAATAGAGGACTGTGCGAGCAGTCCGCAGTTGTCACTTCAGAGATACACACACCACCTCTTGTTCCCCTTCTCGACTCATCCTCGATCCTATTCAAAGTGCCCAAAGTTCCGGCTGGACACGAGCATACTTTGCTGGTTTCTTGCGAGCGGGCCGTTCCCAGACTCGTTCGATGGTGGAGAGGATCTTTTCTATGTCTGGCACGAAGTTCAAGCTAACTTAGAGAATGGGTCCGAGGAGTAAATACACTTTGTTGTTTCTTGCCAGCGTGCTGTACCCAGACTCATTCAATGGTGGAGAGGATCTTTTCTATGTCCAGCGCAAAGTTCAAGCTAAGTTGGAGAATGGGTCCGAGGAATGAATGCATTTTGCTGTTTCTTGCCAGCGCTTCGATGCTGAGAAGTTTGCGGTCTGTTGGATGATAAGCTACTGATGAGCGGACGGCACAGCTGGTTCTTTCGAGCTGTATTTCGTGGTGTCATTGATGGGCTGCTGCGAGAAGGATCTCGTAAGGCTGTGACATTTGCCAGGAGGCCGTCATGAGGGCTGGGTGCAAAAAGGAAAAGTCTGTTGTTCCGCCATTGCTGAGTTCTTTCTCCCTCCATCCGACAATTGGAATGCCAATTGCTGTGAGAAGTCGGCGAGGATCGTCGGCGGAAACGAGTGTGTGGCACAAGTGTCCGAGATCTATCTCGGCGCTTCTAGGTCGGCGAAGTGGTTGTGGATCTGACGGATGTCGAGTTGCTTCCGTTAACTGGCACGACATGTGCCTGCTTGGATGAACTCCTATGACAGGTGTCAACTCTCCAGCAAACTTCCCTAACCTCTTTCGACGTATGGCCCGGCTCGGGCCATCTTGGCAGCTGTCAAGTTGGTCTTTCCACTTCCAAGCCTTGATGCTGCGAACCTGAGGATTCTTGAAGAAACTTCAATAGTGGTCTGATGTTTTATATCGGTACACACTCCTGTTCGTCATGGGATGTGTATCTCCTCGGAGTGACACACTCCTGAAGTATATTCTTGCCAATACAACCATCAATTTTCGTACGGGCGTCATCGCCTTTGAAACGAGGGTCCAGATCGAAAAAGACTTGTTTAAGAATGTGGATCGGCAGGCGGCCCGAATCCATTTGCTTCTTACACCACTCATGATGCGCGACATTTTCAGCTCGTAGTGAAGCAAAGAAGCAAGTGCCAGCCCTCTCATATGGATATGCCCAAGCCTCGCTATGTGGATATGAATCCAAGCCAGTTATTCGCAAGGGCTTTACATCCCTTTGACGACCCAACTACCGGAAACCTTTTATCCGTCCTGACCTCGGGGGCATGAGACTTCACGAGTGGCTTGGGCCGGACTCCGAAGGTTCCTCCACAAGATTGACTACCGGCACAGGTGTCCAGGACGTCTTGGCTCGTGAGGTTTGAGTTCCTGGATCCAGAAAGGTTTCGTCAACTCTTACCGTAAGGCGCAACATTCTCAATCTTCAAATAAGGCAGGATCTCGACAACACTTGCCATCTGAAGTTCTTCTACCGGCTCGATCCGGAGCCGATATCAATACTGTAATGATCCATCCGTTCCCGAGTATTTTGGCAAGTTCCGCCTGCACGCACCATCGCCGTGAATCCATGTGTCGGAACGAGCCTGTCGCCCCTCCCCCAGGGCGCCACACCCATATTTCCAGCAATCCAGCACTGTGGCGTCCTCTCCCGAGCCAGACCACCAGGACAGCTTGCAATGCCGTCCCTACAATGCGCCCAGAAGCCACATTCGAACCTTCTGTTCGTATTTTGACCAATCACGCCCTCTCCGTCCCTCTTCCCAATTTCTCCACAATGTCTCATTTCCACGAGAGCGTCAACACTCAAAGTCCAGCTTCATCATACTCTATCCTTCCAGCCACAACCCCCTCCTCCTCCCCAGGAAACGTGGGGCTGTAGTTACGGCCGTAAAGAATAGTCGGGAGGTGCCGTCCTGACAAACAGGCATGGGGACAATGGTCGGATGTTGGGCACACCCAAGGCAAACTCTCCCTTCCGCTGCTGCATCTGGCCATGTTGACATGTTGTTTCTAATTCAGATCCGCATTCCACGCCTCGACATGTCCAAACCCCCGCAACTCCGCTTGCCGGGGAGGGAGGGGAGGGAGGGGAGGGCAGAATCCACGGTCTCGGTCAGTCCGGAGCCCTGGGTTCTGCCAATCCTTCACCCCTTCTGCTCCTAAAAATATGTGATGAGTGATCACAGGGAGGGCAAGGGACATTTGATGCGGAAGTCAAGTCTGCAGATCCTATATGTCTGTCTGCCCCTCTTCCCTGCGAGCCGTTGGACCCAGGTCCTCGGGTTTGCTCGTCTCGTTACACTCGCTGCGATATCCATACGTCTTGCACCTCTCTGCACGTAACCTGCCATCGTCTGACTTGATGCAACGATGGCTCCGTCGTACAGCTCTGGTACCCTCTTGCTTGGCGGCGATGCCCACTACCCCTCACCTTCATATGCAAACTCTATTCCGACCTCACATTCACTCGCATCCCCACAACCAACCTCATTTGCGCTAACATCCGCACCACAACAACCAAAACCAGTATCATCAACTTCAACATCAACATCAACATTCCCACTCTTCACCTCCCTCCCTCCCGAACTCCGCCTCAAGATCTGGCACCTCACCCTGCCGTCCCCGCGCCTCGTGCCCCTCACCTACCAATCCTCGACCGCGCCCCTCACTCCATCAACCCCCAAGTCGCGCCGGGGCTGCACCTCGTCTGCGGCCCTCCCCATAACCCTCCACATCAACCACGAAAGCCGCGCGCTCGCCCTGCAGCACTACTCCCTCGCCTTCGGCCTCAGCGGCGGAATCGCGTGTCCCGACGCACGGCCAGGCTCGCTGCCGAGCAAGATCTACTTCTCGGCCGAGCGAGGCGATGTGCTGTTCTTCGGGCGGAGGAGGAACGAGCACGGCGGCGGGAATGCGAGTGGATGTGGAAGTGGACAAGAGGGGTTGCAAGATTTCGTGAATGCATGCATGATGGTGCACCCTGGCTCCTCTGGCTTCGGACAAGTGACGCGGTTAGCGGTTCAAAAGGGATTATTTACACCCCGAGCCGGGGCCGCGAAAGGCGTCTCGGAGATGCAGTTGAGGCTCTTTTGGGAGAGGGTTATGGGGAAGTTTATCGGGGTTGAAGAGGTGCTTTTTGTGGAGAGGGGGGAGGACGCTTTGGGTGCTTTTGAGGGCGAGGCGGAGGATATGGAGGCTGATGTGAGGATAGAGCAGCATTCGTGGGGGAGGAGCGAGATTGAGGGCGTTTGCTATGCGGATGATGGGCTGGGATTCAATTGTTGGGAGGAGGAGAGCTTGGAGGAGAAGGTGGAGAGGGTTGTGAGGAGCGTGGAGGCGGAGCGTGGATTGGTGGCTCCGAGATGGCGGGTTCTTGGACCGCAAGAGGAGAGTTTGGGTGCGCGGATGGAAGAGATCGTCATTGATAGGCAAAGGAGGAAGGAGAAAGAGGAATCTTTGGTTCGGCAGATGAGAGAGCTCTTTGGACACGAGGATATCTCGAATGCCTTGTGATGGGAAATGGAGGCTATGGATAGAACAAAAGTGTGCGCATTCTGGTTTCTTGTGCAATATTCACGAACGTTCACGATAGAATGGACACGGGGTAGAATTAATGGTACGCTGTATTATGTCTTTTGTCTACGATCTAAGACAATCGAATAAAAGCCGCTGAAAGGCTGTTTCAGGAGACTGGGCTTTTCCGGCTCGTGGTATGCTGTAGTCTGTGTTGCCCATATATGCGCCGAGACAATCGGGGGGGAGGGGGGTTTCTTGAAGCATGCTCAAGGAGAATCAATTACTCATCAAGACAATCGAGGCAGAGTTCTTTGAATGCCTGTTCTAGGAGACTCAGCTGCTCGTCCTCTGGCCCTAGCCAGATTCTCCGGAAGTGATCTGGAAAAGTATTTAGGCCAATTGGCAACCTTTTCAGTCTAGCGTTCACTGCGCCGATGTCAAATTCATTGACTCTGCTGCCACTTAATCCATATTGATCTGCATTCGGACAGAAAAGCTTGTAGTTCTCAATGAGAGCCTTTTCCGCTCTATAATAATTAGCTTGATCACTAAACATATCGAGACAGTAACCTACGTAGTGGGGATCTCCTTGTTGTAGGCTGTCTTCAGCTTATCCCATTCATCACAGGTAAATCCCTGCGCAAATGAGTGTCCGTGACCACGAACGCACTGGATCTCTGATGAAATCTGGAAAGCTGTGTAGTGTTTTGGAGGATTCCAGACTCGAATTTTGACCTTGTGTACGAGAGCAGATGAGATGTCGCTCAAATAACCTATAATCTTCCTATCTGCAAATGTGTGCGTCATGCCTTCGACAATATACATCGTCCTGCCGTCCTTGAACTCTTTAAAATATGCTTTCTCCTCTGTCAACACCAATCTCGCCATTCGGTCGTGAGAAGTAATTAGCAACCTGCCAATGGCGAACTCGTAATCGGTCGTGAGACGCCATGAGAACGCTATTTGCAAGGCCTGGTGCAGCTCTTCGAACGTCGTCGTGTACGGGATGGACAATGTTCGACCGATCCCTGGGACATTGTGAATGGAAACCTCAACAGCGTACTTGAATTCGCAGGCATGGACTTGGTCGTCTTGCTTCTTGCAACGGTCACCTATGAGGATACTCTCAGCTCAATATTCCAGGAAATGGGAGGACAATTAATTGAGATTGGAGATGCATGACATTCGAAACTTACTGCAATAAGGGCCTTTGCAATGTCGACATTGAGCAGTGCAGGCCACGAATATTTGGCACCCGAGACAATATTCCCGATCCGAGGCGCCGAAAGGAGTTATGGAAACTGGCGTTTCTTGTGGAGTAGACGGAAGCATCGCGAGGAGCTGCTGGGATGTGACACCGGAACCCATTATAGTTGTGTTAATTCTGATAATAAGTATACCGAATGGCTGGTAGGTGTTGATGATGTGTTGATGGTGATGGCCACCAAGCACAGAGAAACAAGTTGAAAAGAGTCTCGCCCATTCGCAACTTCCCATCCATGCAGTCCGAGGAAGTTGGCGCACGAATACTATTCGAAGGGGGAAAGCGCGACCGATGTCATGAAAGTGACGTCCCATGTCAATCAAGATATACTTGAATGTACACTGGTGCACTTAGACATGAGCCACAGAAATTTCCTAAATTTCCTCGATTCGTGTCATCGAAAAGTTGAAAATAAATCATGAGTCCTCAATTTCGATCACCGAACCGGACGGATGGATGGGACCGACTGCAACGAGAGGAGCTAGCGCCCCTCTTTCAGGCCAGAGAAATGTATCTGATGCTGCAATGATATCTTTCGCATCCTCCAACTTCCTCACCATCAATATCTTCGTAGTCTGTTGAGCCAAGAATGGCTTATCCCTGAGGCTGGCGGCTCTTCCACAGAGGAGCATCTCCCAGAGCAGGAGATCTGGGAAGGTTGCAAGAAGTACATTGAGTTCTGCACAAGTCTCCAAAGCCATCTTAACTTTTCTCGCCAGCATCCTGTTCATATCCAGTCCCATTGGGAGATCTCGTAATGCTGTGTAGATGTAGATTAAACACGTGAACCCAAAGGTTTGGAAGATGACATGCTGCGGCGTTGCAGGGTCCTCAATAAACCACAATTGATGGACCAGCCGTTCCAAGACTTCCACTCGATCGGTAAACTGTATGTCAGAAGCAGAGGCGGTGTCGGGGGTGGCACTGTTTTCTCTGAATGCTGCCACCAGCTCAGAAATACTTCGAAGCCCCCATAATACTCTCGCAGCTTGATCAAATAGTGGTGATCCAGTGAAGTTGTAAAGTCGTGCTCCAAATGAGTTTATATGTGATAGCGCAGCAGGACTCGGTTTCCCGAAATATGGCTCTAGATTCGTCAAGTCCATGGTTGGTGAGAAATGCGGCTTGGTATTCGCAATTATAGCGGCGGCAAGGTCCACACTTATTACACGCGTCAGTTTGTGGCCAGAAGCGTGTCATGAAATTTGGCTTACAAGAACAAATGCCGCCGAGTTTTCTCGCTGAAATCTGGAGACTGCAGTCCACCTGCTGCTCGAACAAGTTGGACGAGGCCATCCATATGCTTCTTGGACTCTTGCGGATGGTCCTCAAAACTCTACAAAACCATCAGCTTTCTGTGATAGGCAATCTGGCTGTCTACCCACATCTTGGTGAGCAAATATTATAATCGCATTTACGGTCCCTTCGTCAAATCGTCCTTGTGCAATTCTTTGGTTGACTACGCGGATAGCCTCGCCTCGGTGCCTGAAAAATATCCATTTATACGGCAATTCCAGCCCCGTCATGTATGTGTAATGCGCACAGGTGTCAGAGATGAGGGCATGGAAGAACGCCTCGTCTCGGACTGCCAGACCATACCACTCAAAACGGGGGCCGACGTTCGTTAGGGTAGCAGCGGTAATGAAAGTGACATCTGCTGGATTTGTCAGCCTTGTACAACCACACTCGTAGGCGGGGGGAGGCTTGCAGTGATTTATCAGGGACCGCAGGTGAAGGTCTTCCAGTTCAGTGCTCGGTGTATATGGACATACTGCTTTGGGGCGAGGGCTGGCCGGGAGTTTCGGATCGACAGCCTCTTTCGGTGGCTTGGGTCTTGTTTTCTTCCCTGGCCGTGATTTCCGCGATCTCTTTGGACCGATGGGGGCCTTGAATTGCTTTGGACTTGAAGCGCCACTAGTATTCATTGCACCCGTTCCCAGAGATGCCGGCCGTAGCAGTCGCCGTTGGAACGGGGTTGACGCTGTACAACGACTTCGGCTTTAGAGTGGGCTGCATGCTGAGGTCCATGTGGCGCTGCAACTTCATGCGATCAGCCCAAGTAAGCGACGGCTCGGCACATTGTTCCCAATGCAGGAAGATGCCCGCAGTGTGTCATTACTGACTGCCCCTCGAATAGGGAATGGGTATCACTTTCGAGCATGTTGACGTGTTTCTCGAAACTTAAAGAATGAAGGTCATGTTGTGCAATTGCGTTGTGGGAGGAGAAAGAGAATTGGAGAATTGAAAATGTGATGTGAGTATCGTTCTGGAATATACCGTCGTGGGGTGATGCATCGGTAATTTTGGGCACTAGGCTTGCCGAAGCGAAAGGGGCTCGCTTGGAGAACCTCCCCTTTCCGCGGAAGAGTCGATGACTAGGATAGTCCGCTTGAGTTTCGATGTTTTGTTGTAAGTTCTATCCTAAATTACCTAAGAGGCGAAAAGCTAGCCAAATACTCGAGCAACGTAGCTGGAGATCTAATAGAGCACAGCGAGCAGAATCAATGCGCTGTTGAAAGACTCTAACTGACCAAACCCATCACCATGCGCCAACCATGTTTTGCATAGCGATGTTCTTGTTTACTCAACACCCTTTACTGAATACAGGTATTGTGCAGGAATGGGAACAAGAAACATTGCTGTGTTTCCTGAAACATATCCGGTAGTTATGAGGGAAGCGGTAAGCAGCACTATGGTGCAACCCATAAAGAATATGTGCTAGTATGCTAGCCTGCTAGCGTTTGCTTGTACGGATTACGAGGTGCAGGGCTAGACGCTGGAGCGGGTGGCGCTGGAATAGGGACGACGCGCATCAACCGGCAGGCGTTAGCCGGCCAATGTGAACCATAGCCCTTACGTTTAGCTATTGCGGACGTCATCGCTAGATAACATAATGCTGTTATCAAGGACACGAGAGAGGGACATCGTGGGAAACACGATACTAGAGAATATGGCAGCAGCAGAGAAGTGGCTGGAAGAGCACAGCGAGGCGACGATTCGGGAAGCAGAAACACGGGGATGCACTTCACCGATACAGTAGAATGAATTGAGAAACAAAATTTCAAGATTCTTCAAAATATTACACCTTGCCTCTTTACAATGTACAAGATACTCAGTTAGTACCCATAACCTTCATCACAGCAAACGTCATAGTCTCTTGTAGCTTTTCACTCTCGTTCTTTCCTGCAAACTTCGTATTACGCTCATCTCTCAGGCGGTTGAACTGCTCCATCATCCTGGAGCCCATTCCAAACTCCTTGATAAGAAACGCAGCTAGATATCTCAGCCACTGATTTTTGGCCTCTGGCCATTCGAGGCTTGAGGCGTAAAAAACGTATGGGCCATTTCTCGCAATCAAGTACGCGTCTTCCATCCTTGCCTCGATTTCCGTACTGTCGAGGCCCTGTGGCAGCATATTAAAATGTGCCCTCCAAATAGCGTAAATCTTTGATCTTAATGATCTGTTGTTGTTGCCTTCTCCCTCATTATTGGCGTCAGGGACGCCCATGTGCGGTAGGGCCCCATCGGGAGCGCCTTTCAGTTTAAGGATCATGCCGCCGAGAAGATCAGCGCTCTGCTTTGCAAGACTAGCGCGCATTTGCGTATTATTGCCCCACCGCGTGTAAAGCAGATTGCGCACACGAGGGCAGCCGACTAGAGATTGCGACATCTGTTAGCGGCCTGAACTATACCAAGACATGCTGTGCACTTCAAAAGAACAGCAGCGCTCGATTTAACTTGCCTTTCATAGTTTCTTCACCGATAGGAATAAACAATTGCATTCCCTTGCTCTTGGCGCCTTTAAATGACAGTCGTCGATGGCACTCGGTGCAGTGCCAGTCGTAGCCTGGGAAAAGATCTTCTGATTCAAAGATTGCTACGAGACAGCCTAGTGGGAGGCAGAGAATTTCCCAAGGGTTGCTACACCACCTAATTTTTCGTCATTGTTAGCAAGAGTATGCCATACTGGTAATTTGCAAAGGTGCGATAGAGACCTCTTCTTCCAACTACTCGTCTTTTTGCCAAGCTGAACATCTTTCTTGCACCAGGGGCAGTACGCCCTAATAGACTGGACAAGTTGTTAGCGAACATGGAGGTGAAGAAATGCCACGGAGCGCACTCCGCATACTTGCCATTTCGGAATACTTCATTTGCGGCTCGGGCACCTGAAGTTGATTTGTAGCTTTATCTATGATAGGTTTGCACTACACAAGAGTTGGATGGAGACGAAGTGGAAGCACAGGCTGCTACCTCACCGTATGTAGTCATGGCTGGCACGATAATTAGCTTGGGATTCAGCCTCCGGGATATTCAGCGAATCAGCCTTACTGTGTAGCGAGCCAATATTGCGCCACATGTTTCTTGATGTTGTTCTCGGGTTCTGGCCGCACGCCACAATGGCCTTGCACATAGAAGCGCGAGAAAGTAAATACCTTCGGTCCCGGTACGGAGGTATTGTCCGTGTGCAGCGGCGTGTAACTCCAAACCCTACTACATCGTCCATGTCGCCGCGGCTGGAAATCCTCATAGAACCCGACACACTAGTTTGGAACTGCCGCCATCAATACTCGTCGTCCTCGTCCCCTACAATAGCAGCCTCTTATCAGATCTAAGCTGCAAAGTTCACCGCCCATTCGTGCCTGCCAGGTAACTACACCTCCAACTTCATCACGTGCTGTTTATCAGAAGCAACTCGGAAGCGCAAGAGTGCTGCGAAGCGCCGGAGCTAGAGAGAGCCCCAGTCACACAGATGATTCCTCCAGTGGTGCAGATGACCCGAACAGCCACAGGCCCGAAGAGAGCAGTCTTACATTATGTAAGGCAAAATACTGTACAGTTACTCCGTAGAAGTAATTATTATGCGGGATGTGCCGACGATCACTCCCTCACCAGGCATCCTTGATCGTTTGATTAGGGGTACTCTCCCCCCCTAAATAAATGTAACAGTGGGGCTAATCCTTGATATCAGCGCTCTGAATGGCTGAAACCCTGATCAGCCACCTAGCACTGTCAATCGCGAGGTCCTTCGAGAAGACGGTGGCTTTATTTACCTTGCTAAGGCTTGTTGATCCCATGGCAAAGGCTTGGAAGTAACTAGTAGTATTTGCTGAACGGCAGCCACAGTGTCTACTCTGGACCCACTGTTACATTTAATTAGGGGAGGGGGGAAGTACCAACTGATGTGGGGATGTTGCATGGACGCAGCGCGTCGCGGCCGCCACATGGCTAACAATAACTGCTTAGCAGGGGGAAAGGCTCGGAAAACCAGATCAAGCCGTTCTACAGTATGATGTTGAAAGGCGAAGAGAGCTCGATGGCGGTGCTGTGGTGGAGGAGTGCTGTTGCGCTATGAAAGGAAGTCTTCACAAATTGAGCGCGTATGAGGCAATGCAAACGTAATTTTCCAGGTCGGCGGGGCATGAGTATTCAGGAGCAGCCAGAGCAAGCAGTAGACATATAAGTACGAGGAAATGAACGTCTGCGCAGAATTTGATTCGTTGCAAAGTCAACGTACAGTACCATGATTAGTCCCGGCACAACGGGTGTCCCGCCATGCAGGGATGGGCGTTACTTGTACTAGTATCGACCAGGGTAATTCCTTGACGTGACTCGATCTCGCCGATGGGAGTGGGCATTGGGCATCATGAGACCAAAGTTACCTAACAAAACGCTCTCCGTGAATATTATTGTCTATACTCCATCGGCTCTGCTTCAAGCGATCACTCAACGCTTTGCGAACTGGGACCAGCTACTGCACATCCACTCGTATTGTAAGGTATGCTCAATCTTGGGTCCGGAGCTTCGGGCTGGATCCTCCTAATAACCCTCGCCGGATTCCCAGCAACAACACAAAAGTCCTCTACATTCTTCGTCACCACACTCCCGGCACCAACCGTCACTCCTCTCCCAATCGTGACCCCAGGCAACACAATAGCATTCCCTCCAATCCAACAATCCTCGCCAATCGTGATGGGAGCTCCATATTCAGGACCTTTAGTGCTGTTGCGAAGAAATGGATCGAGAGGATGGGTGCCCGAGTAAAAGGAGCAGTTTGGTGCGACAAGTGTCCTAGCTCCGATTGTAATAGGAGAGGTGTCAATAAATGTGCAGTTGTAGTTGACAAAAACCCCTTTCCCGAGTCTATGAAAGAGTCAATTTAAATGGAGCTCTGGAGCAAGGGTCAGGGAGGAGTGAGTCGTACATTACGTTGTAGCCATAATCACACTTGATAGGACCCTCAACGTATGATACATCCTGGAGTAGAATGTCGTCTTCCTCTTGGGTGGCTGCCTGTGGTGGGTGTGGAGACTTGTCATTGGCGATACTGTAAATGGTCAGAGGGTAATCTGAATTCTTCAAGGGCGGACTCACTCCTTCCAAAGCTCAAGGCGCCTCCTTCGAGAGGCATCTCCAGTCTCTTGGTTGAGCCTATTGCAAGCCTTTTTACACCGCTCCCGTTGGGCGATCAAAGCGGGGGTGAAGGCATAATAAAGCTCGCCTCTCTTCATGCGTGCTTCATTCTCAGCGTCATCGATTTTCTCCATGGCTTCCATGGCTGGATGATTGATAAGTCATGGAACATTAGAAAGACGTGAGGTTCAGGAGGAAGCAAGATATATCTACCAACTACGGACTCGCTAAACACGTGTGCTCTCTGCAGCCTACAGTAGCCCAGTAAAGTGTAAGCAAGTGGGGCACACCAGCCCCTGACTGTGGCGGATCAAAAATTGGTGGGGTACATTTGCTAAGAGAGATACAAGCCGTCAAATTTGTCAGAGAAGTCTTAAGAATAAACTTTCGGGCTTTAGTTATGGAATTCATGTTTAACAAAAACTCGGAATAATGGAACTGCCTGACTGGCTTGTAAAAGTGTGTTATGGTTTGAGCCACATACGAGCAACGGAAAGCGAAAATAGGGATGAACAATTTTTGCTGCGCAATAAAATTAAAATCAAATCAAAACACCAAACATAGGTGCGTCTGCTAATACTGCAAAATCAAGCACGCGATATTGCTTTTTCTGGGGGTTGTCTCGGACCCCAAATTGCCCTTGTCAACTTGGATGAAGCTGACACTGAGGTCAACATCGCGATTCGTGTCGACGATGATGACGGCCGCATGGAGGTAGAGGATCTTGCCTTACCGTTCCGCCGGTTTAACCTGCAAAATTCGGAGGTGAAGGTTCTCTAGAATGTTCTTGGGAAAAACTGCCGGCTTCTTCAATGGAGGCATTGAGATGCGACTGTTGATCTATATCTCTACTGTCTGCGTTGAAATTGCATTGAAAGGCCGAATGATCTACTCCAAAATACTGTCGACTAGCGCCGAGGTATAGAAAATGAATGTGAGGAAATAAAGAGTTACTGATATTCGCCAAGGTATCACACCATGACGACCCAGCTTCGGCTCAGTTTGATCACACTAATTCTAGCCAAGGGGTTCCCCTGACCACTAGAACTAGCGAGAGCTGACTCGTGAGATCCTTTACTCCGTAAAGCCACTACGCCACTCACCATTAAACTTTCTCCAGAATAGATAGTTCGGGCAAAGGACCAGGTTGCGAAAAGCCTGGCCCAAATCTGGTGTTTCGATTAGCATTTTTTTCTAAAGTCTAAACATGGCCGGTTTTCATTGCCGCGCGCCTTTGTACCTTTCCTCTAATAGCCATAGGTAGTTCGGGCAATGGACCAGGCTGCGGAAAGCCTGGCCCAAATCTGGTGTTTGTATTAGCGCGCGCGTTATTAAGGCCTCATTTTTTGTCTTATAAGGGGAGGAATTTCCTCGAAGAAAAAATGCAACTCCAAGACCGAACGCCTGCTGCGACTCCTGCCTTTCCCAATCCCTTTCGAAGCAAATCAGTTAGTGACGGTTCGACAATCGCGAGCGAGGTGAAGCTGAGGTTCGGAAATCTATTCAACGATTGTTCCAGAAACACAATCGACCAATCCATTCTCCAAGAACGAAGACAAGTGCCTCACGATGCCTTTGGTGTGTAGCCGAGACAAAGGCATGACTCCCCCATCTTTACGCCCCCTCTCTTAGAGCTTCTCCAGGATCTTGATCTAACGTTTTCGCTTGCAAAAACAAAAGAAGCAGCAGAAGCCAGAAGAAAGGCGGCTCATGGGGATGCACAGAAACAATTCGAAGATAGGGATAAGGGGTACGGCACGAATTCAGGCAGTTCGGGTGGTGGTTCTGCTAGTGGACAGGGGAGTGCATCAACCCAGAATGCTGGCCAGGGCCGGAGCACTTAGGGGTTCATAGACAAAGCACATATGGGTATCATCAACTGCAGGCGAGGAAAGGGGCGGGAATCACGTGGGCTAGAATGTAAACTGTGTGAGGAGTTAGCGTGCCCTTAAGCGAAACGCTAGGCTTGAAAGATTATTTAAGGAACCTTGCCAAACGTCTACCTCTCCTCCAGGCCAATTCAATCAACCGGGTATCAACTGTAACTGTGCAATGTAGGGACCCATAGATCGTGTAGTGTGGTACGGCAGGCACATTGCATCAATCCAAGCCTTTACAGTCATATTGAGCCTTGTTTTACTGCGTGCGCTCTCGCTTTTTAGTCCTTGGTCTTGCTTGGCCCTGTTTTTTGCTTCCGGTGTCTTTTATGTGGGTTTTGTTTTTGTCGCGTTGTCAGGGGGAAATTCGCTTAAGCCTCAGGCCACACATTTCACTTAATTATGGCGTTAAGGAGTGTTTAGCCTCGCTCCAAGCTTCTATGAGCTTCACGCTTCTGTTCAGGAATTTATCGGAGTTCTTGAAATCTCGGGTGTTCATAAGTAACGTGAATTTGACCTGGCAATTCGTCAACCTGGTACATGGTTCACTTCTGCCTATTTCTTCTGAGGATCTTCAGCGTTTCCCTCCTACACTAGATCGCGATTTTTCTTCCAAGTAGAATAGATTTTCAGAGACTACTTATATAGCGATGTTCTGCTCGATTCAGGGTAAAATAAACAGTCACCATTTTAGTAACTTCGTCTGACGGGTCAAGAAAGGAAGCCTTGGCAGACACGGCGATTGGCCCATTCCGTTCCTACTTTCCATCTCCATCTTTAAATCCAAATCCAAACAATATCTCTCCGTAGCTCGTACTAGCAAACCAATCGCTGGAGTTGATTCGTAGTCCTCTCTGGGTGCCAGGGGAGAGTCCGAAGTATAGCAGCAACCATCATCACTCTAGTACGGCATGAGCGTTCCCACCCGTAAGACTTTTTCCGTGCTGACTTGCGGCTAGGTACTTCGTACAGTACGCCCCAATGAAAGCATCTCGGTCCTTGAGCTCTATAAACTCCGTAGACTCATTTGCATATTCCTGAGTAATATTCTAGAGCTTCAATATGATCCCAAAAATCAGCACTACTGAGCCACCGCCCGCTCGAGACTAATTGCAGTAAATGCGGAGTGCGTACAGAGGCCACATTCAATTTACCCCAAGAAAAGTCACTTCTTACTCAGCCATATAGCCTCGATAATTTTGAGGAAATGATAGTTAAGTAGTTGAATGTCGCAAGTATTGCTGGTTCAATGAACCGCTCTCCCCTGCACACCCTTCCCCCTCTATTTCCAAAAATGCAAGCCCAATCGCCTCCCTCAATAAACAAATCTCCAATGGAAACTTTCGACTTCGTCATCATCGGAGCAGCAATCGGTGGCACAGTCGTCGCCTCCCGTCTCCACGAACGTGACCCCTCACTCTCAATCCTCCTCATCGAAGCCGGGCCCGATTCCAGCGGGTAGGATCTAGCAGAAGCCGCCGCTTCACCTGCAAAACCCGCCTTTTGATAGGGTCTGAATTAAATTGTAAGTATGAGACTGTGCCGCAGAACCTTGTTAATGTCCTGAAAGCGTACGTTAAGGATGGCAAGACATGGGGAATGGGTCGGGGATAAATTATGGTATGCCTGATGTCCTTTTAGACCTGAGATGATGGTTGATTTGATAACAGAACTTTGGACATGAGGGGATCAGAACGCAATTATACTTGTCGAGAACTTCTCAAAGAAGCGTGGGCAACTCTCGGCGTCCACCAAGCAACTGACATAAACGGCGGCTCGGCTCTTGGCCTCGCCGAAGTCGTCGAAGTTGTCGAAGTTGTCGAAGCCCGCACTCGAGGACAGGAGTAATTGCCAGCGCTACATACCCTCACAACGGTGTGGAAATTATGAACTCGACGATTGTCAAACGAATCCTCATCTCTACCCTCCCAGATGGTACGAAAGTGGCAATAGGCGTCGAGCTTACTTCCGACCAAATGCTATCCGCAAAACGAGAACTTATCCTCTCAGCGGTCCATCAGGACGCCGCAACTCCTCATGCTTTCCGGCATCGGTCCAGTAGAGGAACTCCAACAGTATGGAGTTCAGCAAGTGATTGACTCCTAAGAAGGAGGGGAGATCCTCTGAGACTACTTGGTCCTTTCTCAGCAGTGGGAACTCGGAATCCCGAACTCGGTGCTTCCGTTGGGAGTCCGCTTTTAACGATCCAGCGTTCACGACCTGGAGCCCATTGGATTGGCACACCACCGCTTCTGTTGATCCCGAGGAACTCAAAACGGCACTAGCTCGTGATTCAGGGGTTTCAGACCGGGAGAAGGAGGGACTTCTGAGTGCAGCAAGATGTCATCTCGGCATACTGATGCTTTATATCGGTGTCCCGCTCAACGGAACGCTCGTCACAGCCTATGCCCTGAACCTTCTGCCTATTTCGAGATGGGCGATAACATTGAAACCAGCAGATATCGGTGATCAGCCGGCGATTGACCATAATCACTATGCCACGGTTTCCGATCAATACAGGCTCCGCATTGCGGTCCGAACATTTGCCAAACTCATGAACACCTCTCCTGTCGTAGACCTCTTTGCCGGGGAAGCCGTACCACCGAGTTTCAAGACGACACATGAAGAGAGCAGTGATGCAGAATCGACGAGAGACTGAAAGCAGCGGCAATGACTCTCCAGCATCCAGCGGGTGCAGCGAATATGGGCAATGTCGTTGATACCGAGTTCAGAGTCAAGGGGGTACAATGGCTGAGAGTCGCAGACGCGAGTGCCCCACCTACTCCAATCAGCTGTCCGATTCAGGCGGTTGTGTATGCCCTGGGAGAGTGAGCTGTGGATTTGATTTTGAATGGAGGGGGCATGTGAAGAAGGCAGGGGGTTGCAGGGGCTCTCGGGTAATACTTGGTGGTTGGGATAAATAAACCCCTACCCTGAAGCGTGTTTCTAGCGGGTTCGCCTCCACAAAACATTGAATTCCAGCTGTCTTATTCGCCCATACCCCTTACTGCGGCGTGTGTGGATCCAGACAAGGCATGGGTTTATTTATCCCTACTACGAGTACTCGGGAGCTGGATTTTTTGTTGCACGTCTGTCCTGTCACAGTTTTTTGCGACTTTTTGTCCCCCCCTCTGCATCTGAAGTGGTTACTGCAGTAGAGCTTCAACGTAATTTCAGAAAAGAAGGAAGCATAACAACTCAGCTATCTGATGTTATATTCCTCAAGGCATTAGAAATATTGGGAGATTAAAAAATAAAAGAAGTATTCCGCCATTGTGTGGGTTGGGTCAATCTCGATCCTGTGGACGTGAGGCGAGGCTGACATTCTCAAACTTCGCGGGCTCCCTTCCCCAAACAACATCAACAATCATCCTTCTTTCCCCAAACATCAAAAATCATCAACCACGCACTCATTATCACACCACACAACACACGATTCTACGCGATCGAACAAGAGAAGTAGTCCTGCGCGTGCAGCTTCTACTACGGACTCAATTCCACCGTGAGCGACTCCATTCTCCACGATCACAGATCTCCACCAGCCTCCTCCACAATGACGCCCCGCAAGACACGAACCCGCAACCACGCCTCGAGCACCTCACAGCCCCCTCTCGTCTCAGACTACGACTCCGAAGCCCAATACACCGCCCCAGGCACGCTACGCACCCGCGAAGAGATCAACCACTCTGTCATAAAACGTTACGTGCCCTCGCTCTCTGCAATCCTCGAGATCGCCGCTTCAGCATACATCTACACCCTCAACAACACAACCGGCGAATGGGAGAGGACCGGTATCGAAGGCACATTGTTCGTCTGCGAGCTCACACCATCTCCTATCACCGGATCACCGCGGCACTGCGTTGTGGTTTTGAACAGGAAGGGTCTGGAGAACTTGATCGTCTTTTCAGAAGAGCTTCAGAATGTGGAGATATCGGATGAGTTTCTGCTGTTGAAGTTCAGGAGTCGGGAGAGTGGGAATGGGTTTGTGCAGGAGACGAAGGAGCAGGAGAAGATCCTCGGGCTCTTTATGACGGCTGATGGGGATGCGAAGGAGAGGGTCTGCCTGGCGGTGAAGAGTCATTGGGAGATGGCTATGAGGGAGAGGGAGTCTGGGGAGGGTATGGAGGGTATGGTGGAGAATTTTGGGGATGAGGGGTATGGAGATGGAGGAATGATGAGAGAGGCGGCGGGGGAGTCAAAACCCATGGGGAGACGCTTGAGTCTGACCGAGCTGTTTGGGCATCGTTGAACAAGCGGCACCATGGGAGGAAACTCGCTGCTACAGGGGTGCATATGGCGTCCCTCCAAAGGAGGGCGATGGATCAGTACGAGATCCGAATGAGGGTCAAGCAGACGACAAAGCTGTAGTCAGGCTGGTACAATCTTTGGGGCCGAGGGGAAGATTGCTGGCGATTGTGGCGTCTAATCCCGAGCTGTGCGACAGGCAAGAAGCAATAATCGGCAGATGCTCCTCTAATTGCTGCTTGGGTGTCCGTGGCGTCCTCGCATGTTTCCGAACATCGTTTCTTTTTTCACGTCTTATCCTAACATTGTTCCTTCAGTCAGTAATGTACCTTCTTCCTCCAATCCCCACATTCGGAAAGCCAACACGACCACAGTATTCCACACCACAGCTTCTCGTTCTATATTTACCCAATGTAGGAATTGGCATGATTCGACTATTTACGCGGATATACGAGAAGCGATAGGTCACCAGACGGGTTACACAGCGACGCCTTACCATGCAACAACCCTTTCTGGAAACAAAATCGCGAAACCCCGCCATAGAGCATCTGGCCATTCTTCGTAATTGTGCGACTAGTCCGAGGGGTGTTGGCTGCGAAGTGGGGTATTAAAGCGACGGCAGTCCCTTGATTTTTGGACTGCCGTTCTCATGCGAACCCATCTATAATTGACACCGAGATACGAGCCTCAATTAGAACGACGGTTTCATGCCCCTGCGATACTCCGAGACGACCCCGCAGCGCAGCGCAACGCAACTCCACGTCCGCCTTCCTCAGGTCATATGATACGAACTCTTCGGATCGGAGAATTGATGTGAACCATTCCCTTCATCCTAAGCGCGAAAGAATTGATTTGATTGGACTGCCACTCTCTTTTTCCTGGCGAACTGGTCGCAACATCAATCGTTCCTCCGCGCAAGTTGGGGCGCATTGGGTAGGCGACAGCATCAACCAGACGAGGCGAAATTGGGCAACCCCAGGCAGCTAGGCTGTTGGGAACACTTATAAAAGCTTGCAACAACTTTTGCTGGATATTTATCAGTCCTCAATTTTCAAGGCTTTGATACAAGCACAATGATAGACGCTTCACCGCCAATATACCAGCCTGGAGTCCACGGGGAATACGCCTATTCTCATGTCTTGACCTGTCCTCTGCACGGCAATGAGAGAACGAAGTCATGCTCAGGAAACTTGAGGAGAGGCGATTCCTGCGGCAATAAGGCGACGGAGGCTCCTATGCCCGGGACCTTACCGATGTGCAGGATACACCGAGATCAAGTGAAGATGGCGACATTTTGCAGGGCACAACTTCCCTGCGGTTACGAGTGTGGTCAACTTTGCGAATGGAGGCCTCATATGTTCCAGATATGCTCCGACCATCAAGATGTTCCCAGGACCTGCTATTTCTTCAAGGTTCCCATGGAGATGCGGCTCCGCATCTATCGCCTGTTACTTCCAGATATACGCATACCCGCACGACGTTCTGGTACTTGCTTGAGAGAAAGTGGCGAGCATACACACATGGAAATCCTCCGAGTCAACCGCCAGATCCACGATGAAGCTACGAGCCTCCTATACGGCACTGGCTCCTTCAGCATCGAGATTTCCGCAAATGGGTTAAGCATGAGCAGCAAATCTGACCCAAGTGGATGCGCTACAAACTTCTACAACCCTCCTAATGTGGTCCCAAACGGCCCCAACCCTCATCCCGCCTTCTATGCAGGGCCCGGCCCTGGAGCTGGAGGCAATCACCAGTTGCAAGATTACCAAATGCAGCTCATGCTTCTCGAGCAACAGAACAAGAAACGACTCCTCATGGCAAGACAAGCCGGCATGCCCGTCCACAATGGATCGTCTTCAATCCCTCCTCCTCACCCCCCATCATCACCAACCCACCCCCCAACACAGCCATTCATCCACTATCCCAACCCATACACCGCCACACCCTCGGGACCTGTCTGGGACTGCCCCCTGCCCGCCCACTACTTCAACCTAATCCATCACTTCCACATCACCCTCATCTTCCCAACAACCAACCAAATAAACACCCCCTACCCACTCCCCCCACACCTCGCCTCCACACGCCTCTACACCCACAGTGACCTCACGCACTCCCTCATCGGGCGTCTCCTCCTCCTCACCCACCCCATCTCCACCCTTTCCATCCGCATCAAGTTCTTCGATACCTACTCCCAACGCTCTGAAGCCATCTACGCCTCACAATTCCTCCTCCGCCCATTCCGCCGTCTCGCAAATATCGTCAAACCGGAAGTTTCGGCGGTGAAAATCATGTCCTATCAAGCGGGGCCTGAAATTGACATCTTACCCACGCTTGGGAACTATTCGTCCTGGCCTGACGACGCGAATCTTCTCGCATTCCTATCCTCCTGGACACAGGATCTTAAATCGGAGTGGCCCGCGATGCCGGCAGGGGCGTCAAAAGTATTTGATGCGTATTGGAAACTAGAAAGCATGGTAAGGAGGATACAGGGGCATTATCGCGGACTAACGAGTTTCGCGATGGGGCTGGGACGGTTGGAGGATCTGTTGGGGGTCGCGAGGGTGTGTAGGGAGGATGGCGATGAGGCGGGATTCGAGGCTTGCTGGGGGGAGGTGGTGGCTGTTTGGTTGGGGTTCCTGGAGGAGCAGAGGAGTTGGGAGAGCGGGGTTGAGGGCATGATTGATGGGATCATGGGGCTTGTTGGAAGGGATGCTACGACACCTAGAATGGATAGGTTGGGGGTTGATGCGCTGGGGGTAAATGAAGGCATATTTGGGAAGGGGAAGGGGAAGGAAGTGGTTGTAATCGAGTGAGTGATTTTGGGCCAGGGAGGTGTTAATTGTGTTTTCGAGATGTGTTGACGGCATTATTCATCATTTCAATCTATGAGGAAAAGGAGACCAAGGTTCTGATATCAAAATTTGTTTGCATAATGCATTTATTCATCTTCATACTTTCGACTCGAACTTACTCTCCACCTCCAATTAAAAACTTCTCCCCAGCCGCTCGCCTGAGTGCATCAGCCGTCCACTCGGGATAACTAGCCATCACACAATGCCCCGCATCATTGCAATGCTCCACCACGTCAAAAGCGCTCGGCGTCGTTTGTTGACACAGCTTTATCATCACCTCATTCAGCTCGCCAAACGGCGTCCGGTCATTGCCGCTACTGAGGAATGTTGACGGGATATCCGTGAATGCTGCATATGTCGAGGTACTGAAGAAGACTCCGAGACTTTGGTGCACGAGCTTAGCTGATAGTTCTTCTGCTTGGGAGGCGGGGAGGTCGTGGTAGAAGATCTGTTTTGCTGTTGAAGGGGGGATGGTGCCGATGTTGTTCTATGCATAACTATCAGAGCCGGACATCGACATGAGACGGGAAGGGAAGGGAAGCGGGGAGGGGAAGAGGGGGGGGGGGAAACTACAGGTATATCTTTCTCAATCCACTCGGGCATGCTTCCATAATCTCCAGGAGCGTGCGGCTGATACCCAGCTGGCATCGCTACCCCGTTGATGACCACGAATCGGATCACGCCTCCTTTTAATCCTTGTGTTGTACGCTCTTTCTTACTGAGACCTTTGGGAGCTTCGCCCGAGGGAAAGCCGCCGTAGGACCAGGCGACTAGGACGACGTCTTTGTTTGACGAGACGAGGGAAGTGAGGCATTCTCGAATGGTAGAGACGTCGTGGTCAAAAGAGGTGTGTGGGGGGACTGCACCCGTGGAGGGGAGGTCGAGACATATTGTTGGGTAGCCGTGGGTGTTCAGGATCGAAGAGACGGAGGAGTAGACTGAGGCTTTGTGCCAAGCGCCGGGGACCATTACTATGGTTGGTTTTTCTTCCATAATGTGTGCTTTTTCTCACTGCGAAGAATTCTCGTCGAAGTTTGCTTGGAGAGGGGAGACATGGTGAAGGAATGTGGAGTGTATTTAAGTTGTGGTGGAAGAGAGGGGTGAGGCTGAAGTTGGGCATAAGGTAGGGGGAGCTCCTAGTGCTGACAAGAATCCCGTCGCACAGGTTAGCGAATGAGAGGAGAGGGATGGGCAGGGATGTCGGGAGGCTAAAGATGGGGCAAGGCACTTCAAGTTATTCCAAGGTAGAGAGAACTACTCGAACATTTGTGTCTAAACCCCGCTTAGAGCGCACTATCAGTATCCTTTAAAACCCATCGAAAACATACGACCCCCCTAAAAGCATTTACCTTTTATTCAACCTTCCTTGCTGTGGATTTTCTCGTTGAAAATTGATGACGTTCTCTTGCTTTCAGGGGTTGCGGCCTCGCTTCGTAGCGGGGCGCACGGCCGCTACGGCCCGCTCGAGAGCACCTCGCGCACCTGTAACTTTTCATCTTTCAGCATCACCGAAGTCACAACCGTCCTCGGCATGAGGCCTGTTTGTATTATAATGCTGCCTGTATCGCCCAAGGCAGACGAACTGGTATGCTGACTCAAGGCTGGGAAGTCCCACTTCGGACTGGCGGAGACACTTGAGAGCCGAAGCTTGCGGTTATTGAACACGACGGACCGTATCATGACACACCTGTACGACACCGGCGCAACATACTTGTATAACTTGTCTGCTGTGTTGCCTGCTGCTGGAGCAAAAACAAGTCAACATGCCATGGTGGAGTTCTTCAATGGGCCAACACACCCTGGGTTTGTCGCTCATTCCCTTTTCTCTATAATATAACACCCTCCAACAGGCTAAAAGAGCAGATTGCTGGGTCGCAAATACCTCGCTCAAAGATGGCTCGAAATATCATAATCTTGGAGCCTCCTACCCCAACCCGGTTGGGGGGAAGATGTATACCCTCGAGTCTGCAGACGCGGTCACAGGTATAGTGGAATTTAAAACCGATAGTAGTGATTTGAATTTGGATTTACCGAATGGGGGGGTGTACGGGTCCGATGAAGGACTTGGTGAGTACGACGGAGGAGGTCCAGGAGGTGAAGATTGAGGAGGCCGATGGGAGGAGGAGCTTTAGGCTGTGACTGGCTTGGGTCTTGGGGTAATTGTGTGATTATATTCGGCGTTTAGTTGTGTATGAACCATCTTGTACCACATCTATTAGAGAATAACAGGGACTATATGTCTTTGGTGATATTGGAAGAAGAGAAGGTCGAAGTCAATGGAAGTCTTGACCGAGGTCTCCACAAGCGGCCTAGCCTGGAATGTCTTGCAAGGATTGGGTGCTATCAACCCACCCCCAAATCTCCCCACCACAACTCAAACTAAGGGACCTTTACTTCCACTCTTCTCTCTCCAACCCACGTTTCACTTCTGTCGCTGTATTATCCATACTCACTATATAATGCTGGACTGATACCACTTTTGTTGCTGGAGGCCTGGTTTCCCTCGGCCCTCTCGAGTCATCTTGCTACGTCATTCGAGTCAAGAAACAAGCGTGCCGAGCCCAAAAATGCAGAAATAACGTCTTGGTCCTTGTCGGCGCCGAACATTCTTTACCGCACATTAGGCCTTTGAGAACCACAAGACAACATGGCTTCGAGTGCACGCACTTCCACTGACAAAGCATCCGCAGATTTCGAACATATCCCTCCGACATCGAGTCCGCAATCCCTCTCCAAAGCCGTCCACGCCCGTCGAGCCGAGTACACACGACCACAGAAGATCAAAGTCAAAATAGGGACATGGAACGTGGCAGCATGTCCCGGCACAGAGAAAGATCTCGCGGGCTGGTTCGTAGAAGGGAAAGGCATTGACAAGAGACTCGCCGGCCTGGAAATCGCAGACGGCATCAGGGATAACGGGAGCCAAGATAATATCGAGAGTGTTTGCGCACAAGAAACTCGGCGGAAGAAGAAAGAGAGCACTATTCCTAGAGGCGATGAAGGCACGATCCCCGGCGGAGACGAGATTGGGATCTATGTTCTGGGACTGCAGGAGGTGGTGGATCTCACGAGTGCGAGGGAATACATCGGGAGGGTATACACGGATCCAGAGCCGACGGCGAAATGGAGAAAGGCGTTGACAGATTCAATACCCCCCGGTTATGTGCTGGTTTCAGAGCAGCAGCTCTCTGGACTCCTGCTCTTCATATTTGCATCTCCGACGATCGTCCCCACAATCAGCTCCGTGAGCACAGTCAGTGTAGGGACTGGCATAATGGGCTATCTAGGGAACAAGGGCGCTGTCACGACTCGGATTGTGCTTGGGGAGACAACTCGACTTGTTTTTGTCAACTCGCATTTAGCGTCTGGGAACGATCCAGCACATTTGGATCGTCGGTGCTGGGACGTAGCGCAGATTTTACAACGCACGCATTTTGAGCCCATCAGCTGGGCCGGAGTTCTGGATGATACGCAAGAGGGCATCGGGGAGGAGGATTTTGCATTCTGGTTCGGCGATTTAAATTTTAGGTTAGACGGGCTACCCGGTGACGACATACGACGACTTCTCATGCTGCATACGAAGGGCGAATATGATGTTGAGAGTAAATCGAGGGATAAGATCGATGGAGAGTTAGGAGACGCTGATGGACCTATTATTATACGAAGTGTGGACAGTGATTCTGACTCGGAGGGGGATATGCCCAAAACCAACAGTTCGAATAGAGGTGATGCTTCCTCGATTGATCTGCCAGATCCAGATGATTTTATTCAGGACCCGAGCCAGGACCCTGCTTCCCTTCAAGCTACCTTGGATTCATTATTACCACATGACCAACTACGGCATGTTCAAAAGAAGAGGAGAGCTTTTCATGATGGGTGGCGAGAGGGACCGATCACGTTTCTACCGACCTACAAATACGATGTTGGAAGTATGGGTATGTTTGACTCGAGCGAGAAGAAACGAGCTCCCAGTTGGTGCGATCGAATACTTTTCCGGACTCGAAGAGATAAGCTTGAATATGACGGGAAGATGAAGGAAGAAGAACTGGCGAGATTAAAGGATGAAGAGATGAAGGCAAGGGGAATCGATCATGCCGGGGACGACGAGGACGTTTTATTTGATTACAACCCAGATGAGGACGGTGCAGAGGACTCTGCCAATAATGAATACGACGAATATGATGAGGGTAATGATGCTGGGCAGGCTGTCATCACAAAGGAGGGGTTTGTGGATAGGATACATCTGGATGTTTACACTTCGCATCAGCGGGTGTTGTCATCAGATCACAAACCCTTGGATGCAGTTTTCACTCTCGAGTACGATGCAGTTGTTCCTGAACTCAAGTCGAAAATCCAACACGAAGTCGCACGGGAATTGGACCGGGCTGAGAATGAAGGGAGACCTGGAATCACTGTTGTCGTGGATTCTTCTTTAGATTCTCCACCAATTGGTGGGTCCTCTGACAAGAGAGCATCATCAAGTAGCGCTGAGGGTGTTGATTTTGGGCACGTCGCGTTTCTAGAGAGGAAAAGCAGAAGTCTCACGATCGCCAACACAAGTGCAGTGCATACAACATTTGCATTCGTGGACAAACCTAGTGTATCAGGAGATGATCGAATTGCGCCGTCCTGGCTTTCGGTCTATTTCGTGGGCTCAGCAAAGGATGAAGATGAACGGGCGAAGAACGACTTGAAGAGAGAAGTCACCTTGGAACCTGGCGATGCCGTCAATGTAACTTTGGAACTATTCGTCGACGATATCTCGCTTGTCACAGAGTTGAATCGAGGCAAAGCTCAGCTAGATGATGTCCTTGTCTTGCGGGTCACAGACGGTCGAGATCACTTCATCCCTGTTCGAGGGACATGGCAGCAATCCTGTCTCGGACGCTCAATTGACGAACTGATTCGCGTGCCTGAAGGTGGTGTTCGAGCACTGCGTCCTCCTCGCCACGGCTCGGGTGGTCCTGTCAATCGTGGCCGAGAGGTCTGCTGGTCTGCACCACGAGAGCTATTCAAGCTCACCGAAGCTGTTGAACTGCTTACCGACCGAGTCATTGCTGACTCGAATATGCTGGACAACGCCCACCTTCCTCTTGAAGCTCCCGGCTGGCCATTCAGTTTGCACTCTTGGACGTTGCAAGACAAATCTGCGAGAGATACACGGAAACGATTTGTATTAGAAGCACTAGACTCCGACAAAACCCTGACTGATTCTTTCCCTCCTGAGTTGCCGTCGCGGGATAAACTGGAAATTATGGCTGAGGTCCTACTTCTGTTTCTCGGCAGCTTGACAGATGGCATAATTACCGAATCATTATGGACAAGCCTCGAACACGATATCGTGGCTCGCGGCCCCAAACAACTTACCGACCCAGAAGAAATCAAAACCTGGGTCCTCGATGTTCTCTCAGCAGCACCAAACCACAACATCTCATTTGTTTTTCTCACCAGCATGCTGTGTCGAGTCGCCAGCGAGCTCGCACCAGTCCCCAAGTTCAGCTGGAAAGAGCAAGTCGCGGGAAGCGCAAGGAGCAGCATCGAAACAATGCGTCGTAGTCTGAGTTGGAAGGGGAAAGCACCACCTCTACCGAGCGATCCGGGGGTGATGAGGAGACAAGCTGTCGAGAAAGCCTACGCTGAAGTTTTCACGGGGGTGATTTTTAGAGGTCCGGGAAGCCCGGTCAAGGAGAAGGAGAGGAGGGTCGTGGAAGACAGGAGACGAGACATTCTAGAGGCTTTCCTGGAGGGAGGGAGGGATGTCGCGTGAGATTCCTCAAGCGGCATGGAACGGGAGGGAGCAATAATGCTGCAGCTATCGTAGAGTCTTTAATTGGAAACAGAACACATAATCTCAGGATGTTTCAGGTTCAGGATTGGACCAACACCGAGTCAGGCATGCCGGCATCCCGCGCAGGCTATCTCAAAAACTGAATCTTTCTCAGCGTCATTGACCATTCTAGGCCCGTGACAAGCTTGCACTGCCCTACGGACTACTGCGAAAGGACTACGCTACATTAACCTAGCTCCCTCGTTATCTTTCCCTTCACTTCTCCACACTTACTACACTTCATGCGTGCAGACTCGCTGGCTTGCAGACAACGCCAACATCGTCCCGCCGCATTCTGCATGGTCCAGAAAAGACCCGGATGCGAGCACGGCGGTACGGGACCGTCCAGGGTTCAGGGATATCTCGGCACGACAACCACATCTCAGCCCACGGCAAGCCACCAGATCTTGGCGGCTCTTTTCAACCAACGACACGACGATGCGCGCGAATCCTTATCTTTGACACTCTTTTCTTACGGCTTATCTTGCAGCTGCCATAGCTGAAGAGTAGGGATGGTAAACTTTACACTTTACATACTTTACGTAAAGTAGTCGTACTTTACATTACAAAACATAGTAAATCTCGTATAAAGTAGGTATAAATAGGGTATAATTCGTATATAAAGGAGAGTATAATTCAGGATACGTGGTCCTAATAGTCGTTCCCAAACGCCTGAAACTCCAGGTCCTGAATACCCTGAAAATCGGTACTAATATCCCCTTGAAACTCCTATAAGCCCTGAAGTATACCCTGAACCTCTGGAATAGCTTCAATTATAGTATCAGCCCGCCTCCGCTTCCCTATAATTAGTTTAATTAATATAAATTCGTCTATTTCAAAGTCTTCCGGAAATATCATTCGAAGTATTGCAAAATCGTCTTCCAAATCAAGCCTCTGTATCTTAATAGTATCCGGATCAAGTAGATCGTTTGCTTTAATTCTCTCTAGTTACTTTGCTTTCACCTTTACCTTTCCATTTATATATATATTATTGCAATTAGTATATAAAGATCGAGAATTAATATAAATAAAGATAAGCTTATTAAGCTTAGGGAGAGAAAGACAATTTCGTAATTTCATATAGAGGATATTTATAACTAAAAAGGCTTGTTCGAATATTACTGAATTTGTAGTAGTATTAATAATTCGAAAAGCTAGCTATATAAGTACTTTGTTTCTAGATACCTATAAAATATTAGTAAAAATCGAGAATATTAGAATATACTTATAGCAAGATTCCAAAAGAGTTTAAAATTATTTATATATACCTAATATCCCTTTATTAAATAGAAGCCCAGTTCCATTAATATATATTTAAAAAAAGCGATTAAAACATTTATTCTACTATAAGAGGATATATAATTTATAATCCGCTCTTGGTTAGTTTTACTAAATTAGCTCTATTAGTACTAGTTACTTGAATTGAGGATATATACTAAAAGGTAAATATCCTAAACCTGCCTTTTAAACCTAAACTCAAAGCTATATTTCCCAATTTACTCCAAATATGCCCTTATATCCTCTATAAAAGCGAACTTTATAGGATTACTAAATTATAGAAGATATATATATAAATTAATCCATTATTAGTATATATAATAGAGGTTCGTATAGGTTAATTCTAATGCCTTTTACTAATTATATATAGGCTCTAGTAGCCTCTCTATCTCTTGTAACTTATATTAAAAGTCCTTACTTATTACAAGCTATAGGAATTTCGAAGATATATTAATTCGAGGGTCTTTTATATATGCTTTCAGGTAAGGTTTATTTTTTAAGATAGATTTAATAGAATAGTACTAGAAAGCAATATTAGAGGTAAAAATTACTTGAATTAGGAAGCTTACTTGAGTACCCTATTATATCTTTACTACTAGAAATAAAGTAATCTCTTTACTAATACTATTAAGCTGCTTTTAATATAAGATACCAAGTTATAAGGTCTTCTTCTTACTAAACTAAGTAATAATTAACTGAAAATCAAGCCAGAAGTCATAAATTTCTAATATAATCTTGACTTCCTTAATTACTCTAGGATTAATTATATCCCTAATAATAAGCTATTAGCTATAAGAATTATATCTAATATTAAATATATAAGCTAGCTCTAAAAGCTTAGTAAATTACTTTCAAGTTCTTTATATTATAGAATATATATCTAAACAGAAAGCAGATAATCGATTAAGATCTCCCTATATAAATTCAAGGGCTTTCTCCTTATAATCCAGAACTATATTTTCCGCTAAAGCACTCTTATCTCCCAAGCTCTTATTACTCCAATTATATAATATGCCTTTGAAAATAACGGAAATATTCTCGATTCAATATTCTTTAATATTTATAGATTTATCGGAAACCATACTGAGAAATAGAGAGGAATTAAAAACATTTAAGATATTACTCTTGACTTTGGTATAGTACTAATCGAGAATCGTATTCGTAATTGCATATTATTCAGGTACTTTAAAGCCTATTATAGTAAAAAAAGCTCCCTATTCAGGTATATCAAATATTAAAAAGGCTATATAAGAAGTAAATATAGCCATTCCAAAGAGGGCATTTAGTATATCTTATCTTTTCCTACCTGGTTAAGAGGAAAATACAAGCTTTGTCTAAAGTGGTCCCCTTGGTATCAATGGCCCTGCTATTCCAGTTCTCTCTGCTTGATCCTGATCAACTAAAAATCGTTAATATCGCTCGTACTACTTGAGATACTCGCCTATTATAGTAGTATTCTATATCCGCTTGAATGGCTTCTTCTCATTTTTGCAGAATCGGTAATAGGCATAGTCAGAGACTATTCCGTTTCGACTAGCTGGAATTTTATCGAAGGCTTTATGGATCTCTACCTTCTTTTGAATGCTCTACTAATTATTGGCTAGTATATTAGCTCGTTGAATGGCGATTAATTCCCTGGTGGTGAGAGTATTAATAATGGAGAGTTTCTCAGCTGCGAAGATTCAAACTTACTACCGGAGCACACCGCTTCCGAATTAGGTATAGTGTATTCCATATCGGGCTAGTGCGTCACATGACTGTAATGTAACGTGTAAAGTACTTAGGGGCTGTAATTACACACTTTACGTAACGTGCTGGGGCTGTAATGTAAAGTATCATCCCTACTGAAGAGCTACTGGTGTGCGCAGACAGAGATTTCCTTCCATGGGCTTGCAGGATCTGGAAGCACCTTGCCAATGAGAAGCTTGGAAGCCTATGGGTCTGGAGCCATGCGGCCAAGTGTATTAAGGCCAAGCCTCACCCCCAAAAGGCCAAGGCTGTTATCCAGCCTTCTTTGCTTGGCTCCTCCATTTTTCTCGTCTATTCTCTGCACAAGTGGATGAGATGGGGAGAGGGACCACTGTTTAAGCATTTCCAGCGTTGCTGCTGGTCAGATTCTTATGCTGGAGCGAGTGGAGAGGCAGACAATATGGTATGGAGTCGAAGCCCAGGCCAGTATGAGGGCCTGGTGCGTCACGGTTATCGTGCCAAGTATGGAGCTCTGTCATGGGGATTAGTAGCTTGCTAAGCTTTCTTCCTGGGAGCTATCGAGAGGGTCAGATAGAGCTGCCCCCATACTCTCCACCTTCTTATCAGATTCCCTTGTTTCGGCCAGACCGTCCGGAAGGAAGGGCAGAAGCAGAGTTTTCCTCTATGTCTGCATATATGAGGACAAGCGTTCCCCTCCCGCTCGAGATTGTATTTTGAGTTGCTTCAAGCAAGTGCTGTGGCCATCCTCAAATCGCCAACATGACTTCCATCTATGCTCTCCCCTACAATGGCACCACCATGACAGGATGTGATTCTCTCACCGAGGACTGCAACATCTATTACGAGGTGCCACCTCCCCCCTCTCCCCTCTTCAAACTCTTTCCTAACAAAACCCAGTCCGGCGACATCGCCTGGATGCTCACCTCCTCCGCCCTCGTGCTCCTCATGATTCCCGGCGTTGGATTCTTCTACTCCGGCCTCGCACGGCGCAAGTCAGCTCTCTCGCTCATCTGGCTATCCTGCATGTCTGTCGGCGTCGTCTCCTTCCAGTGGTTCTTCTGGGGCTACTCCCTCACATTCTCGCACACGGCGGGTTCTTTCATTGGTGATCTTCAGAATATCGGGTTTAGGAATGTATTGGGCGCGCCCAGTGTGGGCAGTCCGAAGATCCCGGATTTGCTGTTTGCCATTTATCAGGGGATGTTCGCTGCTATTACGTGCGTTGCCCTCCCTTCCCCCTTCCAATAGTACTTCCTATGGTTTTAGAAATGATTGAGCAAGGCTGACATGAGAATAGTCCCGCCCTCGCCATCGGCGCTGCAGCAGACAGAGGCCGCATGCTCCCCTGCATCGTCTTCATGTTCATCTGGTCCACCATAATCTACGACCCGATCGCGTGTTGGACCTGGAACCCGGCAGGCTGGACCTTCAAAATGGGCGGCCTCGACTTCGCTGGTGGAACTCCCGTGCACATCTCCTCTGGCGCCGCTGCCCTCGCATACAGCGTTATGCTCGGCAAGCGCAAGGGCTACAGCGAGGTCTCAGGCCTCCCGTATAGGCCGCACAATGTCACGCATATCGTGCTCGGCACGGTCTTCCTCTGGGTCGGCTGGTTCGGCTTCAACGGCGGCTCAGCACTCGCTGCTAACATGCGCGCGGTCATGGCTTGTGTGGTAACGCATCTCGCTGCTTCCGTGGGCGGCGTCACTTGGGTCCTCCTCGATTACCGTCTTGAGAAGAAATGGAGCACAGTCGGCTTCTGCTCAGGCGCCATCTCCGGCCTCGTGGCTATCACTCCTGCATCTGGTTTCGTCCCGGCCTGGTCGGCGGTTGTCTTCGGTGTTGTGGGCGCGATCTGCTGCAATTATGCCACCAAGCTGAAGTATGTCATTGGTGTTGATGACGCGCTTGATATCTTCGGGGAGCATGGCGTTGGTGGTATCGTCGGCAACCTTCTCACCTCCTTCTTCGCTGCGTAAGTCCGTTTCCCTCCCCTCCCCTGATCATCTCGCTAACCAATGGTTGAATAGCGACTACATAGCGCATCTCGACGGCTTCTCCGAGATCCCCGGCGGCTGGCTGAACGGGCACTACATCCAACTCGCATACCAGCTCGCCGACTGCGTGACCGGCTTCTCGTACTCCTTCTTTGGCACCTGCATCATCCTCTTCCTCATGAACCTCGTTCCCGGCCTTTCGCTCAGAGTCAGTGCGGATGAGGAGGAGCTCGGATTAGACGAAGCGCAGATTGGCGAGTTTGCGTATGATTATGTTGAATTGAGACGCGAGTTCTCGGATGTGATTTTTGGCGAGGAGGGCGAGGGTCAGCTGGGAAGTGATGGTGCGGCGAGTATTAAGGGTGCGGGAAAGGTGGAGGGCGAGAAGAGCGTGCCGCTTGAGAGTGTTTAGATGCCTCGAAGGCTAGACAGAGGGGGAAGTGGTTGAAGATGGGGGAGGGGTTTTGTAAGGCTATTTTGAGTCGGGTACGCTGAAGAATGGGTATCGTTTGGTGTTCTGGTTTAGGAGTAGGGCATGTCATGTTGCGTCCTTCGTTTGTTTGGGTAGCCAGAACCAATACGAAGACTTACAAATTCATCCTGCAGGTCTTGTTGAACGAGGCACCGGAATCAAAGCTTGACTTGGAGCAGCCTCCACACTTCCGATGTGAACGCTGTAGCTTTTATTTATTTATTCAAAATAGGCTATTAGCATGAGTGCAAAACTTTGTATCTCGAGAAGTGTTCTTCGCTCAGCAGTAGTACTTTCCGAGAGTGGGAACTTTCGTTGCTGTCAAGGAATTTCTTGCCGTCATTCATCTACTTGCTTAGAAACGAACTCCCCTTCTTCCGCACATGAGCCCACGTGGAAGTTCTGTCAGGCCGAGTTCAATCCTTCCTGTACGGCTATCTTTATAGAATACTAAGGCTACCGCACTTTTTCCAGCTCAATATATCTTAAATCGTCATGCCATGTTTTTGCATGACGTTTGAAAATTTCTTGGGCTGTCTTTTATGCTCGTTAATTCTCACTCCCCCTCCGTTGAGTTGGGAAAGGCGTGCTGGAGCCTAAATAGGCCGATTACGTTGTTTTTGAGAGCAGTGAATGGGACGTGACTTGATTCCCTTGCAAAATTTCGTAGCTTGGTATTAGTGAGATAAGGATAAAGGGGGGCGGAATAATTGTTTGCGTACGGGGGAATATATAAGTTGTCTCTCTTACTTCTATAGGGTGAATTAAGGGGCTATATGGAGGTCGCGGCTATAAATCTTGCAATTACTGTGACGGCTGGCGTAATGGCATGATCTGCCAAGGACAGGATATCGGAAACAAGTATAAAACGAAGCTAAGCCGGAATACTTGGGCGGAATAATACTAAAAGGTCAAGGCATTTTCCCTACTTTGTTTTATAGCTTAGAATTTCTAATACATGAGATTCTTTGAACTTTGAGCCTTTAACTATTACATTAATCTCGCTATTATATAATTCTAAGCTCACGCGACTTGGCCTATAGAGGTAATATAATATTACTAGTAAAGGACTTGTATTTATTCTTAGGAAGCAAAAATAAAATACTATATTTAATATTTAATAATCTCCTCGAACTATAAAGAACTAGAGAGCTTAGCTAGAAATATAATATTCTCTATAATTTAATTAATCTTAAAATAGCCTTTAATTAGAGTAAATAATATTTCCCTTTTAGTAATTAGTTTTCTACTAATATAAAAGAAAAAAAACGCTATTTTCTATAACTTAATTAATCTCGAAATTTAGCTCTTAACTAGAATAAATGATATTTCCTTAATATTAATAAAAGTAAAAGAACTAGCCTTTTCCTTTAATATAAAAAGAATTAATTATAGTTTATTAATTTAAAATAAAAAAAGATAATAATTAGTTTTAGTCTATTAACTTAAAACTAAATAAGATAATAATTAGTTATAGTTTACTAATATTAAATAAAAAGAACTTACTTAATATTTATTTCTATAGCTAATATTTCTTTTATAATTATTATAAATAGCTCGAAATCAAATATTATTATTATAAATATATTAGATAAAAGGCTCTAATATAATAAAATAAAAGAATCAAATTTTAATATTATAAATTTATATAATTAAAAAAGCTATTATAATATTATTTTAAAAGAAAATATTAAAAAATAACTAACTAATTTGAAATTTGAAATTAATATAAATATTCTAAAAATAAATAAGGCCTAATAAAAATTACTTATATAAAATAATCTTATTAATAAATATTATCTTATAGCTAATAAATAAATAAAATATTATTAGAAATTTCATTTATATATTAATTTATTTATTAAGAAAATTAATAAATTAGAAATAATTATTAATTAACTTTATAAAAAAAACTAATATAAGAAAAAGCTATAAAATAAATATTTAAAAATATTATAAGGTTTTATTAAGAAAATTATATAAAAACTAATATTAAAGTTTTCTTTTACTTTTAATTTATAGTAATTAATTATAGCTTATTAAAATTAAAAGTTCTATTTTATTTATAAGTAAAAATAATTACTAGATTATTAATTAAATACTTAATATAAGAAATAAACTAATATAGAACTTTTTTTTAAATTCCTCTTTAATAAATTTAATAATAAATTATTAAAAATTACTTATATAATATAATTAGTTATTAAAAATACCTATAATTTTATTTATAATTAACTAGAACCTAAATTAGTTAAATAAATCTTAATTATTAAATAAATTTTTAAGATTCTTTAATAAGCTTATAATAAAAGTAAAGAAATAAAATATTAAAAAATAAAAGAAATAAGCTATTTCTAATATTCTAAATAAAGTTTATTTATTTAATAATTAATATAATAATTTAATAAATAAAATAAATCTCGAGTTTTTTAAGAATTATAAATTATAATATTAATATATAATTTCTAAATTTACTAAATCTAATAAAAATTAGTTATTAGTTAAATTATTTATAAAATACAAGATTATATAATTATATTTTATATTTTATTACTTATATTTTATTACTTATATTTTATTACTTATATTTTATATTTTATATTTTATTACTTATATTTTATTACTTATATTTTATTACTTATATTTTATTACTTATATTCTATTATAATTTCATACTTTACTTAGCCTAATATCTAGTATCTAGTATCTGGGTATCTGGTATCTGAAGTTACCTAATGGTTATATATAAAGAAGCTAAGAGAAGCTATACTCTAGGAAATTTAGGATACTAAGCCCTATTAGGCTAAGCTATAAGCAAGGAACTATAAATATTTAAGAGACCTTAATTCGAGGCACTCTTTTCTTCTTAGCTTAGTTTTTTCAATAAACGGTTCTCTTATAAATGCCTTGTTTATAGGCTCTTTTTATAGGGCTATAATATTAAACTCAGCTCTCTTTTTTTATCTAGAAAGGCTCTAGAATATTTCTCTTGAAATAATTATTTATTTCTAAAAAACAACTTCATATATATATAATATCTTTAATATAACTTCTTATACTAATAGTTCTTCTAAGAATCTTTACTTATATCCTATAATTCTATCTCTTATATCCGGTACTAAGAATATCTCTAGAATAGGACCTTTTGCCCCGAAAGAATTTCCTATTCTATCTAATATTTATTCTAATATACTCGTATTATAACAAGCCTAAATCAAGATTTAGATAAATATTCAGACTAATTATATAACCCTAAATAGCTTAGCTATTAGTTTAGCTCGCTTACTTAATATAAAAAAGGTTTCCCGAAAATATTCTATTAGTAGAAATTATATTCCGAATAATATATATTTCTAATTTAAATACTATAATATAATATTTAATTCCCTAATTTCTTTTACTAAACAAGTATATCTGGCTAGGGAAATCCCTAAATATAGTAAATTCCGCTTTATAAAAGTTCCGGATTTCTCGAAGCTTAATAATAGTAAAAACCTAACCTATAACTATTAGTAAATCCAGATTATTAGTAAATTTAAAGTTAATATAGACTATTATATAAATAAGAATACCTATATATATTATATTTTTAATTATATAAAAGGCAATATTTAATACTACTTATATACTTAATATAAGCCTAATATTACTAACTCTTTTAAAATAATTATAAAAATAATTAACTATCTTAGTAAATATTTTATTAATTCTTATTATATATATAAAGCTAAATATAAATATAAGAAGTTATAAATAAATAAGGTTTAGACTTTCTATAAGTTTAAACCCAAATTTATTTATTTATAAAACCGTTTTAATAAGCTATATAATAAGCTAATATTCTTTTTCTAAGAATAATTTATAAGCTAGTACTATTCTATTTATATATTTTATAACTTATATTATATTACTTTATTAGTTAATTCCGAAATAAAGATATAATAGACTTATAAGAACCTCAGAAAGCATATTAAGGCTCAAGCTATAATTACTTTTCTAATCTCTATTACTTCTAATACCTTTATATTTATTACTTCCAAATTCTATATAATAACTTCTTATATTTTTATATTAGCCCGAGTATTTCTAACTATTAATAAGCTAATTATTAAAAGAAAAAGTATTCCTGTTTTAATTTTAAATCTATTTTAACTATTTTTAAACTAGTTATATAGCCTATAACTATCTGGTACTAAAGTATATTACTAATATTAAGGAACTATAAAAAGATAATAAGCTTATAGAAACTAATACAAATAGTATATTAGGAAATAAAAACGCTTAGAAAAAGACTTCTTTTTAGATAAACTTGAAATTAATTTTATAGAAATTAATCTAAACTAGTTAATAAAAGAATTATATTTAATTATATTCTATAGCTTAGATATTTAATTAATATCTTCTTTTTTACTAATTCCAGAGCAAATAGTTTTATATTTATTAATATTCTTTTTATTATAAATTTTTTTTTTAATCTCAAATTCTAGTATTTATCTAAGTCTATTAATATTAAGAGATATAATAGCAAGCTAGAAACTCATATTACCTATTTCTTAAAAATATATTTTATTATTAACTAGAAATAATAGTATAATATTCTCTTATTAATTCTTAAGCTTAGATTTTATAACCTTATTCTCGGCTATAAATGGCTGAAATACTTTAATCTGCTTTTTAATATCTGAAACTAATATTTAATATAGCCCGAAATTCTTTCTCTATTACTCTCGGTTATATAAGAGATTTCTATATCTCGAGAGGCTTTATTTCCTGTCCTAAAATATATTTCTTATTTCAATTATTAAATAGATATTAAAGCCAGAAATTATATATTTAATAAAGAGAACTAATAATAAATAGCTAGAAAACAAGCCTCTATTAAGAACTATAATATAGAAGATAACTCTATTATTAACTTCTTTTTATATACTAGCTTTATTAATAATACTATTTCCAAGTATAATTCTACTAATTCCGAATTAAATCCGGATAAAGAGCCTGAACTAGAACTAGTTATTCTTATTTCTTGGAAGCCGAAAATTAAATACTCCTATAGGTAAAATACTTAAGATAGCTATTACTAAATAGAAAACTTTTTAGCTAATATTATTTACTTTATAAATATCTTATACTAAAGGAAATCATATATAG